TCGAGAGCTCCAAATCTGCCGAGTGCTGGATTTCCGAGATCGAACCCTGGCCGCCAGAATTCAACATTTCGATAGCCGCACTGCAGTATCAAGAGGCACTGTCGAAACTCAGCACGGTACTCATCGTCGTCTGTAATCATCATCATCGCCATTGTCAATACTGCCGCTGTCGTAGTTATCCACGCGCGCATAGCTATTCTCACGATGATGATATATGATGATGATCCTCTAGTTCGAGGGAGAAAAAAAATGACGGTACTGCACGCTTTTGCGAAAACACCACTAGACGTCTGCCCAACAATGCTGCTATGGCGACTACGAGCCACTGCAAATACCGATACCAGTGAAAAGAACACCAATTGCATTTAGATTCTACCAGCTTCTGATCTGAAACTTGCTTCCCATGAGAATGCTGATCACAGCGAGAACAGCTCGCAACCCAGAAGCCACACCTCAAGCCTGAGACCCCAAAGCGGCCTTAAAGCCAAAGCCCTCAACCCCAAAAAAGGCAGAAGGCAAAGCGGCAAAAGCTGCTTGGCCTCCAAGGAGAGAAGCTGCTCCGAGGGAACCTCCATCGCCACCTGCTTTCGGATTCAAGCTTTCAGGGAGCTCTGGAGGGTTTGCAAGAGAAGGGACGACAGCGCTGCTGGGTGATTCTCTCTTTAAGGATTTAGGGCTTCATGTGGTGTCGATCCACTCACAAAACGACGGCTTGACGCTGCAAGCGTACACTACCAGTAAGAAGGGCGTCGCTGACTGTGCATTCAGCTCCCTTACCCAAACACAAGTGAAGCACTGGCTGTACGTGCCACAGTATCTCAGATTGAGAGATGCCCAAGCAGAGCCACTCGACAACGAGACAAGCTCTTCTCGAGCCCCTCTGTGGGCGACTTGTGGTCAGCACGTCTCCAGATTGTCCCTAAGAAGGCCTGGGAAGCTTTTTTTAGTCGACCGGAGTGCTTCTGTCGTCTGCAAGACGCCACTCTCAGCGACACTCCCCTAGTTGCCCTCATGAGAAGCCTTCTACAGACTCTGCTGACTTCGGAGGACCCTGCAGTTGGTTCGCCTGCCTCACTAAGGCTGCCTTAACACTCATCGCACGACATGGGCGCAACGTTCTCGTCTTCAGTCTTGATTTTTCTCCGATCGTCAGATCACATCACACCGAGTTGCGATCGCGCTTTAAAGAGGTTCGTCACAAAAACATTGCGGACAGCAGATCTGAAGATCATCTTTGATGCACTGAATTCATCCTATTGGCAGGCTTCGCAACGCACCATACATGTTGCAGCTGGCCTTGTAGGAAGCTGCCTGCTCTTGCCGGAGCCTTTCGGTCTCCTCCAATGGTTGCTGAAAAAATCGCTGTCGAGAACGCCCTCCGAGAATGAAGACGATTCAACGGTCCCCAAAAACGAACGACGACGAACGACCAGGACCCATCGGTCATACGATGAACTGTTCGACTTACAACAACTAGAGAAATCAATACTGGAGCTGACGAAAAGCACCACAAGTTCCAGCAATGATCGTGCGTAATGGCGACAACCGCAAAAATCCTTAAGGACCTCGTTGCCTGACAGCGGAGATAGCAATGAGGACAAGGGCAACAACAAGAATAGCACAGTGAACGCATGCCCATGGCTGTCCATGGTACCTGTCGGAGGCTATCGCAGCTCACCTTCTCGGCCTCGCGGCTGGGGTTTTAGGAGTCGGCTTTGGCTTGGAAAGGATGGTTTAACCCTCTCACGTCGCGGGCAACATTAGGGGCAGCAATACGGACAATGCCAACAACAACACTCATTACCCAGGGGAACACGACCACAGCAAGAGGAAGAGAATGAAGAAACTTGGCAGCCACAGCAGCAGCAGCAGCAGCAGGCGGCAGGAGCCGCAGCCGTCACCGTCGAACTAACCGTGGCAGCAGTTGTGGCAGTTCCAAGCGAAAAGTGGCAGCAGCTGAAGTCAATGCAGTGGTGTGGTGACTACTACTAGTACTATCACTAGTAGTAGTAGTAGTAGTAGCAGCAGTAGCAGTAGCAGTAGCACTAGCAGTAGTCGTGGTCGTGGTCGTGGTCGTGGTCGTGGTCGTAGTCGTAGTCGTAGCCGTAGTCGTAGCCGTAGTAGTAGTAGTAGTAGTAGTAGTAGCAGTAGTAGTAGTAGTAGTATCAGCGATAGTAGTAGTAGTGGTAGTAGTAGTAGCAGTAGTGGTAGCAGTAGTGGTAGTGGTAGTGGTAGTGGTAGTGGTAGTGGTAGTGGTAGTGGTAGCAGTAGCAGTAGCAATAGCAGTATGAGTAGGAGTAGTAGTAGTCGTAGCAGCAGTAGTAGTAGTAGTAGTAGTAGCAGTAGTAGTAGTAGCAGTTGCAGCTGTTGTAGTATTTGTTGTTGTTGTTGTTGTAGTTGTTGTAGTGGACGTGGTAGTAGTCGTGGTCGTGGTAGTGGTAGTGGCAGTCGTACTCGCCGTCGTAGTAGTAGTAGACGTCGTCGTCGTCGTAGCAGTGGGAGTACTAGTAGTAGCAGTATTATTAAGATTGGTAGTAACGGTGGTAGTGGTAGCGGTGGTAGTAGTGGTAGTAGCAGTAGCAGCAGCAGCAGCAGCAGGAGCAGCAGTTGCAGCAGTGGCAGCAGCAGCAGCAGCAGCCGTGGTAGGTGGGTGGTAGTGGTAGTGATCCTGGTAGTGGTCCTGGTAGTCGAAAGAGATCAAAGCAGGACAGAGCAAGGCAGTCCAAGTGAATCAGCCCCGGCGACGAAGCGATTGCAAAGGCCCCACAGAGCCGTCTTCTTGCTGGATGTTTGATTGGTAGCGGCAGTGGTAGTGGCACTCTGGTAGTGGTGGTAGCGGTGGCGGTGGCGGTGGCGGTGGCGGTGGCGGTGGCGGTGGCGGTGGCGGCGGTGGTGGTGGTGGTGGTGGTGGTGGTGGCGGTGGTGGTGGTGGTGGTGCAAAACAACGCCCTGCATGTCCCAAAACCTTCGTTCCCTGCGGCCTGGATCCTTCGCTCGAGCTCCCTGCGCTCAGCATCGCACTCGCCTGTGAGGCGCGCCAACTCCTGGCTGCAGGTCGGGCGGGTAGGGATTTTTGAATCTCACTCGCAAGATTCAGCTTCCGGCGTAAACATACGAGTCGCAGGAATAGGGTATGAATTCAGGATCTTAGCCTTTCGCACTTAATGCATTAATGCGCCAACAGTACTGCCAACCCAACAACGAACAACGTTCACAATCATCACCGGGCTTAGAAGAAAGAGGAACATAAGAGCAGCTCTTTCGAGAGACTCATATTGTCGTGGCTAAAAAAGCTGGATATAGCGAATCTGGCGAGTGCTTCCTGCTAACAGCACGTATACCTGTCATTACCTGTATGTGTGATGGTGTCGGTACTCAGGAGCAGCTTGCATTATTAAGCCATGGGGCCATGAGAATCTGGAGGCTTCCTGTGAACAAGAAGTAGCAGGGCAACATAATACTGGCACCAAGCTGACTCTGACCGCAACAAGCGAACTTTCGGGCTGGGCTTTACGCATGCTTGATATCTCTGGGCTTAGGGTTGCGCAGCATAATGTACGTTCGTGGCATTGGTGCGGTGGACCCTTGGGGGAGAATAGAAGCAAGCCTGTTCTTAATCCTATGCTACCTGGCAACTTGCACAACGAATCAAGCAACCAAGCCGCTTCAAAACTCGAGAAACCCAACGGTCCCCACCATCATCGTCACCACCATGACAACACCGGCCATCATGATCATCATCATCATCATCAGAAGCAGCATCAACATCATGAGCATCAGCATTAGCAACAGCGGCAGCAGCGTCGTAGTATCGTCGTCTTGGCCAGCACCGGCACCACCTTCATCGATCACTAATGTCACCACCATTCCTGTACTCGTCACCATCATCATCACGAAACCGAGATCAACGGTGACCGCTACCAGCATCACTACCAATAAAGACTAATGCATTAGGTTGAGTGGAGAGGGCACCAAAAACGTAGCCGGCCATAAATAAGTATCCGGAACCGTGTTGATGGCTTAGACATGAATCACTTCCAACTGCAGCGCCTGTTCGAGACTGTCTTTCCTCTCACTGAGCTGCTGCTGCACTGCAGCAGCCTGGCTCGATGCTCCTACTGCTGTTAAGCAAGAGAAGATCATCAGGGGGCTACTGTATAAAGGGCTGATGCTCTATGGTTTCGGGCAGGTCTGGCTTTGGCGAGTGTCGCTTCTCGGGAAATCGACCAAGAGCTTGTAGTTACGTTCCCAACATTCTTGGCGATCGGAACTGAAGGAACAACCATAAAGTGAAGGACCATCACCATAGAAGCAAGGATGATCACAGGCTGGACCTGGAGTTGGAGTGTTGCAGTTGGTTCGACCAATGCTTCTATTTGCAGCGGAAATTTGAGCCACCTTGCTATCCCCGAAACGACACCGCAGCAGGATGAAACCAGAAGAAGCACGCAGCAGCACATGACAATGCAGCCTGGAGAGGCCGGACGTAGGGAGAGCTTGGCACAGTACCAAGCACGAGTGGCACGTTGCGGAAAGCAATTCTTCTTTGTATTATCGAAATGGAAGCGACTATGTGACTATGGTCCACACCATCGCAAAATAATTCTGAACTCCACACCACATGCGTAGATGATACGAGTGATATGAGCTTATGAGAATCTACTGGTACAACAAGTACAGTTAGTTGCATGTAGGAACCCACAATAACTGCGTACTGGCAATGGTGACCGCGTTTTCAGCCGCAGCAGCAGTGGTAGTAATGCTGGCAAAAGCGAAAGCAGTAGCAGCAGCAGCAGCAGCAGTTCCAGGAGAAGAAGGAGGAGTAGCAGCAGCGGCAGCGTCGTCGTTGCTGTAGGAAGATGATCCTATTGCAGCCGACTGATTAGCATACTAGCAGTCCCTGGCACTGAAAGATGTAGCAGTGTCGAAAGACACATCATTCAATCAGAATGGTCATGGAAAGATGTACCGCTGGACTGCTTCTCTTTTGGCGTCGGCCATCAAGGGCGCGGGGAGAAAGCATGTTCAGTATCGCTACCATGTGCTTTGACGGTCCAGTCGCCATCCTCGCGGGCAGTGACCTGGATACGCGCCATTTGCCAGCCTGGACGGCCACCCTTCCCGTCGACGCCCCAAACCTCCTGGAAAACCTCGTTGCTTGCCGCTTGCACACCTCGAAGCACCTCTGGGCCATAAGGTCCCCCCGCGTTCGCTTCCACCAGATCCGCACTGCTCGCCGGAGTCTCCCCGGCTTCCAGCTGTGCAAGGGCACTGGCTCCCGCCGCCATCTCACCCTGCATCCGAACCGCGACGGACTGCTCCACAAAGTTAACATCGTTGATCTCAAAGTGGATGACCAACTTGTTGTATCCATCCGGAAATGCAAAGTCGATGTATTCATACATGGCAAGGTCTCGGCCACTTGTTTCGGCCATTACATTAAGCTTCTTCTTCCTGGCCTCCCTCACAAGAAGAAGACCGACCATCTCGGACACTTTCCGGTAACGAGCAAAGATGGCTTCCTTCGCGGCCGCGTACTCGTCCACGTCGGTGATGGTGTAGAGCTTGCGGAAGTCTTCGTTCGCCAGGGTTGCGACGATGAAGTCCAGCTGCCTGAAGAAGCTGTTGGCACCGCAGGGCAGGTCTGCAATTCTCGAGTCGTTGCTGTCAATGCCAATCGCCTCAGCAAGGACTTTCGAAAACCAGGGCTCGTAGAGCGAGGATGTCTTGCGAATGCCATTCAGCCCGGTGACCAACACCGCCCAAGGCTTGGAATCGCCTTTCCGGGAAGCTGCAGCTGCCACCGCATTGTCCCAACCTCCTCCTGTAAGGACGCGCTTGAAGACCTCCTGGAACACTGAGTCATCTGGACCGGCGATGATGTCGGCCAGCTGCTGCGAGGCTTCTGCCGTCGCTGGCCAGTTCTTATGGGTCGTATGTGCCGTAGTGGCAAGCAGCTCTTCAAGACCATCTTTGTACGCTCCTGCACCTTTGCACAGGTTCAGGTGGCTCTTCACCATCGATGCGAGCTCGCTGCTCGTCAGCGGTGTGAAGTTAGTAGCGTTGGCCTTCATGGCGGTGAACATCGTGAGCTCACTCATCGGAAGGAGAAGCAGGAGACCAACCAGGAGGATGCCGATTTGCTTCCTGCGCACAACCCGTCCCCCGAAGCAAAAGAGTAGGAGAAGAACAGCACGAACTCTGACTTGCATGCTCCCGCAGCAGAAACAGCACCAGCATGTTAGCTCAAGAAATTCTACCCCGCCTATAGTTTCAAATTGAGTGCCGGAATAGGGGTCGCGGGCATTGCAGATATAGATTATGATGGTAGTAGCAGTGGTAGTGCTAGTACTAGTGCTGGTCGTAGTGCCAGTGCTAGTGGTAGTAGTGGTTGTGGTGTTGGTGGTAGTAGTCGTAGTTGTCGTTATCGTTGTTGATGTTGTAGTTGTAGTAGTTGTTGTTGCTGTAGCTGTAGTAGTTTGTAGTAGCAGCTGTAGTAGTAGATGCTATTGTTGTGGCTGTTGTTGTTGTTGTTGCTGCTGTTGTTTTTGTTGTTTTTCTTGTTGTTGTTGTTGATGATGTTGTTGTTGGTGGTGGTGGTGGTGGTGTTGTTGTTGTTGTTGCTGCTGCTGCTGCTGCTGGTGTTGTTGTTGGTGTTGGTGGTGGTGGTGGTGGTGGTGGTGGTGGTGTTGGTGTTGGTGTTGGTGTTGGTGTGGTGGTGGTGGTGGTGGTGGTGGTGGTGGTGGTGGTGGTGGTGGTGGTGGTGGTGGTGGTGGTGGTGGTGGTGGTGGTGGTGGTGGTGGTGTTGGTGGTGGTGGTGGTGGTGGTGGTAAATTTGCTGTTGTTGCTGCTGCAGTAGATGTAGTAGCTGTGGTAACTGTAGTAGCTGTAGTAGCTATCCGCAGTTGTAGTAGTTGTAGTTGTTGTAGTAGTTGTAGTAGTTGTAGTAGATGTCGTTCTTGTCGTTGTGGTTGTGGCTGTGGCTTTGGCTTTGGGTGTGGGTGTGGGTGTGATTGGGGTTGCGGTTGATGTTGTAGTTGCTGCTGTTGTTGCAGTTGCCATTGCACTTGCTGTTGCAGTTGATGTTGCTGTTGCTGTTACTGTTGCTGTTGCTGGTGGTGGTGCTGCTGCATGCTGCTGCTGCTGGCAGTGGCGGCGGCGGCGGCGGTGGCGGTGGCGGCGGTGGTGGTTGTGCTTGTGTTGTTGCGCCAGGACCAGTGCTAGGCCCTGCTGCTACAAGCCCGGCCCGAAAATGCAAAACCGGCCATAGCATTCAACCACTCCTCACAGCCCCACACTTCAGCCGGCTGCGCCACGAGATGCGCGGGGCGCTCATCGTGACATCCCTCTGAGCCCATCAGTAGAGCACATGCTTCTTGCGTTTAGGGGAGGCTTCAACTTCAGGGTTCCATCCCCAAGTGTGTCCGTCGTGTGGTGCAACAAGCTGCGCAAAGCCGAGCCCTATGCTAAGTACGCTCCGGAACGGGTCAATCTTATTGTCGGGAAGACTGCCATACTATATATATATATATATATATATCCCTGCCTTGCAAACCCGAACACAAACACAACAACACAAGCACACAAGGTTCAACCCTGAACCCTGGCCCAAAGTATTATCAGACGGTCATCTTTCTCACGTCGCTTTCCGAACCGCGGCAATCAGATGCTCACGGGACAGGATGCCACGGAAGTCACCGCCTCAGCTTGGGAGGGCAAGGCACTGAACTTGAGCTTCAAGACCATCAAGCTTTCAGGGCTTAGGTTCAGTTCAGTGCGGGGTCTTGAGGTCTCCGGATGGGTGTAATACACGCTCGGCTGCAGACACGGTAGGGCGGGAGACAAGCGGGTTGGCATGAACTTCGATGCACGCGAAAGCACAGCTGGGAGCTGGAGAGGCCATCTATAGGTTAGTGCATCATAGTGCATTTGCCTGGCTGTCTATCTGACTAACTGTCGATCTGCCTATCTATCTATCCATCTATCCTCTCGTTGTTGCGACTGCACGGTCCGGGGCTACAGTACGGGTGCGTTGCAGACAGTATCGGAAGTGAGCGTCATGCTTCGTTGATGGACACCCACAAGAACCGAAACCGAGACACGAAAGCTGAACGTCCCGATCAGTCGCCGTCAGGTTGCGTGTCCCTCTGGAATCGAAACATCAAACATCTACACACTCAATCCTATCAACGGCCTGAGATCGGAAGCCCTGAATCCAAGTCTTAACACCTGAAGGAGCTCAAAGTCTGGTTGGCATTGGCTCATTGGCAAGGCCACGTATGGAAGTTACGCAGGCAGCGCGCTCTCCTGCCTCACAAACAGAAGCAAAGGGCTTGGGTTTGGGAGCTGAACCCTACACGAAAAAAGCCTTCGAAGCCCGAGAGAAGGCACAGAAACAGCATTTAGACAAGCAGTTAGTCTTATTCCGCCCATGCCTTGGCAAAGAGGGCATAGAGCCGTGGCACCGGCATGTCCTCCCAAGGCTTTCATCCAGCATAGTTCTCGGATCTAAAATAACTGAAGACGATAAGTTCCACATGTAAGTCTGCTTGCTTGGGGCTGGGCTTTGGGGCCGTGGTGGGATGAATTTTGTGGGCTTTTGCGCGGTCGAACGAAAAATAGCTGCGTCCTCGACGACCGCAAAGGGGGTAGGGTCCTCGGCTGCCGCAACAAACACACCAATAACTCTGCCAAACTACATTGCTAAAAAAATTGAGCATTGGGCGTGGAGTCTAGCATTGAGACTTTCAGCTTCGGCTACAGGTGCTGCAACCTGAACCGCATACCTCATAGCACAACGGGTTTGACATAAAGCTCTCGAAGCAAGCCTTCAAGACTCAACAACACCGACATTATTCTGCCCAAAGTGCCTACATCCCATGCGGCGCTCAGCACCATACGTGCCAAGCATACAGGTCAAAGCATGAATCTCGAATCATATAATTCCGATAGTCTGATTAGCCCTGCAACCCGACACATGTTGTCTCCAAGGGGCCATGATCCGATGGATAGGCAATGCAGCCCCCTCATCGGCTGCAATGTCGGTGTCGAGGAAGAGATGTTCGCCCTGTGCAGAATCGGCTGTTGCCGGTGCCGGCAGAAGCGAGAAAATCGGTCAATCCGGTACAAGAGGCGTAAGAAACTCAATTCTTAGCGCTATGACCGCGCACTGCAGCTAGGCGCATAAAGAGTGCGCTCTACTTCGCACCAAAGTCTGTTCTAACTTCACAAACCAATTGCGGCACGCACGGCGCTGTGAAGGAATTCATGGTAATGTCGGTTAATGCACAGCAACGGATAGAAGATGAATACCCCTGTCTACAAACACATAAATATGTATGTAAATATATATATATATATATATAGGTGTGTATATATATATATATAGGTATATATACAGAGATACGTAAGCTTAACCAAGAGCGAGAGAGAGACACAGAGAGAGAGAGAGAGAAACTCACCGAAGAAGGCATGGACGACATAGGCAACAGCACAGAACAATGCTGCTGAATATACTGTGGAAACCGATTTCGAAAGGGATGCATGCATACACACATGCGGGAATACTTCTACATATGTATATATATATATATATATACATATATATATATATGTATGAGTGTATAAAATGTGTGTGTAATTTCTATCTACACGAATGGATGCTTGCGAGACACAACGAAACCTTCGAATCACACCTTAATGACCACTAGAACGCTGGACAAATCTAAGCGAACTCGTCGCGGATGCCATGCTTCCCATGTGCCTGGGCAGCAAAGCTCGAGAAAGGCCTCGCAGGATTGACCAACGTCTCCTCCCAAAGGTCGAGGGGTTTGTCGAGACTGGAAGGCGGGCGCCAGAAACGAGCACCGAAAGTGAATTGCACTAAACCCTGTTGTAGCCCTCAGGGCCGTCAGGTCAGGCTTGCAGAAAACAAACCTTGGGAGCCGCGGTAACAACTCCAAAACTGGCAGGTCGTGCAAGACATCTCCACAACGCGACACAACCTGCAGCTGAAGTCGCTTTTACCTGACTAACCTCTTTCACGGACTACCCAGGGGAGGTCCAGCTGGCTCCGCGAGACTATGCCGAGGCACGGCCCGGAATCATCCTCCGATGTGAGCAGACTTGGGATTCAGAGTGGCGGGCTCAGGGCTCTAGCTTAGGTTTCAGACTCTGATGACGATACGAACAACAAAAACCGAAACCTTAGGTAGTGCCTCAGTCAATCTGAACCATTAGAGTGGTACTCACCACTGGCAGCATGGATGGAAGTGGCATGGGGAAGAGCAGCAGTGGCAGTAGAAGCAGAAGAAATCGCCCTCGTCGTTGTCATGGCCGTCGCAGCAGCAACAGCAGCAGCAGCAGTAGCAGCAGCAGGAGCAGCAGGAGCAGCAGCAGAGCAGGAGCAGGAAAGCGTCAGCGGCAGGAGCAGTGCAAGTCGACGGGGCACAGACAGGATGTACTGGCAAGGCTACGGTATTCAGCTATTGAGTATCGTGAAGGCCACCTGAACGCCAGGCTCACAAACCATTGACCTTTAAAGCAACTCAAATACTCAACCGCTATACTGCAACACCCCCAAATCCGAAACACTCAGTGCAGCATAGGAGTGTGCTTCTGCCCCGGAAGAGTGCATCTCAAAGAGTTGAACCAAAGGCGAACGTAGGTCCGGGGTCATGGAGCATTGGGCTGACCGGTCAAGCCGAATGTCTGAACACTTCCGATGGTTGGAACTCTGAGCTCGCAACCCTAACCGGAAAGTAGTGAACATCGCGATGGTCCAGGGCTCGCTGCACCTGCGGTCGACCACCCGTAGTCCCAGACCCGATGAGAAAGCCTGCGAAGCTGGAAATTTGAAGATTCCGTGTGTCTGAATCTTGGCACCATTATTCGGACAAAGACCCCACGTGGAAGAGCAAGACGTTGCTGACCAGCAGATAGCGTTACAGCATCAAAGGGCTTCTGGTTAAACCATCCTGGCAGCACGGGTCTTCGCAGGAGCGCCTGGAGCATCGTTGCCTCGGGCGGCCTCATCTTGCATTGAAGCTCCGTTGCAAATACTCCCAAACACGATTACCCACAAGCTTCCAGAGGCCCTGAAACACCCAAGGACATCGCGAGCATCAATATCTCGCAACGGTGGAATGAGGCTGCTGACGAAAGTCTGTACCGAAAGCGCATGAGCAAGGAATTTCGCCGAGCAAAAGAGAAACCCGGAACGTCAACCGAACACAGTGCACCAAGACGCATCACCGCATCGTGTGGCAGAAGGGGGCAAAGATCGAGGGCAACCTGCAGGACATGTTTCGTGCCTGCGTGCCTATTTGTGTCGGTGTGGGAAGGTGCGGGGGCACCATCTTCGGATGGGATGCAGTAGGACAGCGGCCTTCAAGCAAGAATTGCCCCGTCGCGGTATGCTTGAAGGCGGATGTGCGATCTGATCAAACGCAAGAACCTGCGCAACGCCCGACCCCTGACCTGGCCTAAAATGCAGGCCCCGTAGCTGGCAAAACAATTGTAGGTTTTTCCCTTGCTCCATGCACGGCCTCAACAATCTGACCGACATGCTTAACAACCGTGCAAGTGCTTGTGTATGACGACGTTCAACATCTAGGCTCCATTTTGCTTCGGGGCTGTTGACCCGTTAGCCGGTATAAACGGTTCCAAGCCGACCCGAAACCCCAAACTCTTAATCGAATCAGCGGCGGAGCTGGGCATTCGAGCTTTGGGCTTCTTATCTGAGCCGAAACGACGGCAATTAAGCAAGATGATGCGAGCAGGATCCGGGAAGAAGTGCGGGGTGCTGCTTATGGACTTGCTGAAAGACTGTACATGCTTCTGTTGCATCCGGCTTTAACCCTGGAAGCCACCGTAGCCCATGCCGAAGAAGAGAGATGTCCCAAAGTAGTGCCCTTGACTGATTGTATCAGATTTCTCGAAAGTCTAGTAGCAGGGACGTGCCCCCGACAGAAGGGGAAAGGCCTGGGCGTCGAGGGCCCGCGGTGGCTCTCCTTCCAGGAAGGGAAGTCGGCGCCGGTGAATCACCTGCGGCGCTGGTGCTTGGAGTTGAGACGGTTGAGAGTTTCATGGTTTGAGGGTGTGAGGCCCGAAGTCTCAGGGTGGGCTATCTCAGGTCTTACGCTTCTCACTTGGGATCTTGTCCATAGCCGCAAGCGCATCAAGCTCGCCAAACCCTCAGTGCACGGCCTCCTCGTCGTGGCCTCGCTCGTTCATGGCCCAGTTTACTGCCATGGACACCGCCACGCCGAGCATGACGATGGGGGCAAGGCCTGAAGCTGCTGGATATCAGCTGTTTCCAAGCCCTTTTCGGTACACCGTTGAGGAGTGGGGGAGCCGGGAGCCGGGAGTTGGCCGAGGGCTAGAGGAGCTCAGAACGGTACCTAAGCCAAGTCCCGAATCTCTCAGCACGGGAGCTCGACTCGAGACACCCCCAAGCCCAAGGGCTAAACCTCAGATGTCTACGGGCAGCCTAAGCCTTTAAGCGGGGAGTCTGCTGAAGTGCGGCTTCTTGCAGCCACGCCGGCTCAAGTCATTCACGCACTCCACAACAATCAGAACCTGGCCAGGCCAGGAAATCAACGGGAGCCGGAAAACATGCAAACTCAAAAGCCTTATCTGTACCGCCGTGATTAGCATCGCGGTCCTCCGAACCGTTCTTGTGGTCATCATCAATGCTACCCACGATAGCAAAAATACCAGCATCGTCGACGGTGCTGAAAGGAGTCTCTGTCTTGCTGCTCTTGTTAGCTTGGGATCCTTGACATCGTGTCTATCTTTCTGCCCCTCCTGAGCTAGAGATTGTGTTGTGATTTGTTGCTTTTGCCTCCCGGTATTGTGGCCGTGATGCTTTCAGCCAGCGTCTAAGTGAACAGTCTAGACAAAGTACAACTGTTCCACCGTGACTGGAAGCAAAAGCAATTACCTTCGCTACGATACATTTCAGCCTCCTGCGATACTAGCACCCGTGGCAAGCCCCCGACCGAGGCCAGCGTCATCTGCTTGAAGCCACACAACATTGCGGCCTTAGCCGGATACCGGTCTGAGTTGACAGCCTACGACACGTGGATGGGCACACAGCCCCTGATGCTACGGCAAGCAAGCTGAGACAGGGTTTTGCCATAGCCAGATATCTCCTGGCGTTGACCCCTCAAACTGCACTCGCTGCCCTCATGAAGAATTTCCGGCATGGTGCAATACAATAGAACTTGTACCCTGGAGCTCTTTCTGAAGCTGGGTCTCTGGCACTTCCCACGACAGCGAAGACCCCTGCAAACTCTTAGTGAATCTTGGAGTTGACGGGTCATTACAACAACTGTTCTTGGAGCTTCGATGCTTATGCTTCGGCGGTCTTATTTTCGAAGCAGGGGCTTACCTAACCACGTACCGGATGACAAGATGCCTCCTCTCATCGCCATGATCGGTGATAACCGCCTCCTCTTCCTCATCCTCCTGGTCCTGCTCCTGCTCCTCGTGTCGTCAACGTCCGAGTCCGGGTCCGGGTGGCGGGGGGGGGGGGGGGGGGGTCGAGCGGATTCCGAGCAGCAGCAGCGGCAGAAGACGACCACGACGACCGCGACAGCATGGCAATACTTCATGATTACTAAAGCTGCTACCAGCGCCTGGCCTGAAACTGAGGTCGACAGTCCCAGGTCTCCACAAAGAGAACCGGCGAAGCGACCGAAGAGCCCGCCCATGAGCATGGTAGCCTCGTTTGCTGATCTCTTTGGCCCGGGTTCGAAAAGACATTGACATCATAAACATTGTGTTTGCCAAAATGGTCATCACATGTCATCACAACCCCGAACATCATCATCATCATCATGATCATCATCATGATCATGATCCTCATCATTGCAACCTGCACCAAAACCACCCACATCACACTATCAGAGCCATTGCCACCATCCGTGCCAGCCTCTCCTGTGGGGAGATACTGTTTTCTGTGCTTGGCACGTTTCTGCTGAAAGTGCGGCAGAATCTGCTTTCGTGAGAGATTCTGGACATACTTCTGTTGGAGATCAGGATCCGGGTTTTGGATGAGCTTGCCTGCGCCGTCGTCTCCGCTGAAAGCGCCACTAGCCGCAACATTCGTGATGATGAGACTTTTGATTTGGGGCTTGGAATCTGGAAATGTTTACAACTCCGGTTGTGGACGCTCCCTTCGCGCCTGACGAGTGCTCTGTCCGAGGGAGACCGCAAAGGCACCAAGCATATCCACGGGCGAAGCAAAAGCGCCTTTGCCCTGTGACGGTGAACGATGCTTGTGAGTCAAAGGCCGCGTGCTCTGCATGGGTTTTTGCCAGAGACATGTTGAAATCCCGCCGACTCGTGGTGCCAAAGGACCGTCTCCTCTGGCATGCTTCGGACAGCACATGTTTCGGGACGATGCCGACTGCGATACAGAAGGCCAGACACAAGCGACTCAAGGGAGACCGTGATAGCTATTTGCGTGGCCGACATACGCGAGGTACATGGCTTGCAGGCTCATGGAACGGCGACAAGACGAACTGACCTTGGAGAGGCGTACTGACTGCTCTCTTGCGAGGCCAACAGTTAAACCGCAAAGCGATGGAATCTCGGCGCTCGTTCCACTCAGCTTCGGTAATGTCCCGGCGCAACGTATGTGCACGCCCCCTCCTTCAGCTATCGCTGGCCCATCGTGAGTGCCGCTGACAATGTTGATGATGACGATGACGAAGATGGTCACTGGTGCTGGTGCTGGCAACCAGTTGAGCGTTGGGAATGGTAGATATGGTGGTGGCGCCCATCTGATTATGGACCTTGCTCAGAAGAAGAGCAACATGCAGACGATTTCTAGGTGAGCAACACCCTGTGGCCGGCGGTAGCGCTGGCGATGACGGCTCAGACAATGCTGTTGATGATGTAGATGACATATACCATTATCATCACTGCTAGAATCAACACCTTCACTACAGTCAGACGGTCAACACTTCCAACTATCATCACAATATATCATCATCATCATCGCCATGAACCATTATCACCTTCATCATCATCATCATCATCATTGACATCATCACCATCATCATCACCATCGGACTAACACGGTTGTCGGAATGGCTCTGACTTCTAACCGCATAGCTGAAGCCACACCTTCCAAACCTCCGCCACGCGTGACACCCACAACGTGGACTAGAACAAAGAAGCTTTCGACGGAGTCTGCGGCTGTTACACATTCGTCCTTCGACTGAGACTCACAGGCCGTGCTGGTGCACGTGTCGAACCGAACTCTCACAGTACAGAGTGCTATACCGAGAGCCCAAATTCCCAGTCAGCTGAACCGAAAGGGCAGTCCACCCGGTGTAACAGAGTCTTAGTAGAGTCTTCGAGTTTCAAACGAGCCCAACCACATGACACAAAAGCACCGCAGTAAAGCCTCAAACAAGCACTCTGGAAACTGTATCAAAACGCTACAACCGACTCCTGGCATGGTGCTTTACCCTGTGCCCCAAACCCGACCCACGAACAGTCAAGGCCACCGTAAAGGCTCCGCCGGGCACCGGAAGCCCTGCTAGGCCTGCGCCATGATGAGACTTCTACGTTCTCTTGGAACCGAACACGACGACACAAAGCGAAGGACCGTCACAAGGAGACAGAGTCAACGACAATGAGGATTACCATGATGATGAGGAAGAGGGTGGTGGCGACGGTAGTGGCAGTGCTGAGGAGCAGCGGAAGGTGAAGGCCGACGATAACAGTCATGGTGAAGACAGAAACGATGCCTCAGGACTGTGCAATGGCAGACAGTGGCAGAGGCAGTAGTAGTATAGTAGTAGTGGTAGTAGCAGTAGTAGCAGTAGTAGTAGTAGTAGTAGTAGTAGTAGTAGTAGTAGTACTAGTAGTCGTAGTTGTTGTTGTTCTAGGAGTAGGAGTAGGAGTAGTAGCAGGAGTAGGAGTGGGAGTAGGGGTAGAAGTAGAAGTAGTAGTAGTCGTCGTAGTAGTAGTAGCAGCAGCAGCAGTAGTAGTAGTAGTAGTAGTAGTAGTAGCAGCCGGAGTAGTAGTAGTAGTAGTAGTAGTAGTAGTAGTAGTAGTAGTGGTAGCACTAGTGTTGGCAGTAGTAGCAGTAGTAGAAGTAGTAGTACTGGTGCCAGTACTGTTGCTATTGCCGTTCTGGCATGTTCTGACCACGTCTGTTGTGGCTGCTCCGGGTTGTCACTGTTATCTCTCATGCTACTACTCTATTTTGTTCACGACTGTTCGTCTTCTTATACAGTCTCCTGGCTGCCCAAAAGCCCGCTGAGCCAAGAGGACCTGAAGCATTGAGCACCACCTCTTGCCTCAGTGCTCCCTCGCGCACGATTCACAAGCTATCCCATATAGCAGATACGGTTCAAAGATGACGTCTAGGTCAGGTAGTGGGGTAGAGGTTATCCTGCATGAATGATCATACCCGCCGAATACTACTGATGCCTGCCATTATCCTGAGCCACATACTTTACCGCCCTGGGCCCACTGGCCTATATTCAGCGAGCTGTATGTCAAGAACGCCAAAAAACTCGAGGCCGCATGGATCTCACCTTGGTGCTCGAGGAAACAACTCTTTCCGGAAGCCAGGAACTCCGAGCATTGCCCCCCGCCCAGAAACTGGTGTTGGGGCCGATCTTGAGCTGCAAACAACGACCGAAAGATCCCTCATCGCTGCTCTGCAGCTGTCTGTCGCTGATAGTACCCGAGACCCAGGCCTCCAACACTGGGGCGAGCGATGCTCAGGAGTTCATATTCGATCAAAGCCACAATACACGAGTGCAAGAATTAGGAACATGAGCCTGTGCTAACGTTATGTTGTGGCACAAGCCGATGATATCGGGTTATTGATGCTTCTTGCCGAAACCTCCGGGTGATGAGAAGCCGGCCGGCATTGTTGCCAGAGAAGAGCAGCTTCACTGAGCCTGCCAAGTGGACGGCCAAGGAAGAAGATCCGAGACTTGAAGCAAGGAAAAGCTTGCTAGCTGCTGACTACTTCTGAAAAATCAAGCACACTTCCGCTTCTCCCAAACACTTCTACCCATCCCAAACAGAAACAGACTCCAAAGAGTCGGAACTTGTCCAAAACATCGCAGCGCAGGCACTGTGAGACGTGGCCACCAGCAGCGAGGCGATGGGGTTGTACTGGCCCTGGGTCGGTGCCGGGCTGCCGCGAAGTCAAGGAGTCAAGGACCAACGCCGAAAGACACCCCCGGGTCCTAATATACGTGTAGGGGCCTTAATGATTAGAGTAGGGTTCTTTTAAAGGGTTCCGTAAAGGGTCTATAAGGGACCTATAGTAGAGTTCTATACTCGGAGGCTTTAGTAGGCTATACTGGCCATCGGAACCAGAAGCAGGTCTGTGTCGAGCCTCGGGGCAGTTCAGGGCCACGTACTCCAACCCAGATTGGCCTTCCTGTGGCCATGGCAACATGCAGGAAACAAACAAACACACAAACAAATGCACAAGCAGGCGAAGAAGAAAGCCAATGATCGCACAGACAAACTAACAATCATATAACTCCGGTGCTTTGTGCTTATGATGCACGCCAGGATTGCGTGGACCCGTCATCGTGAAACAAAGACACGGTGTGGCTGTGTGGACAACTGTGAGTTGAAGCCGCCGATGGCTGTAGGAACCTACCAGCATTACTAGCGAAACTGTTACACGTTCAAGGCTGACATGAATCGTCAAGACTCCGACGGGTGACAGGGTCTTGCATGAAGATCTCTTGCCGTGTGACCCCGCGATCCACTGGGCAACAATGCTTCACGCGATGCGAAACTCCTTTGGCTTGGCGGCTGCAAACTGGTGATGTAAAGAGAGCTGGTTTTCAGAGCGACATCACCCGGCAGCAGTGCTACACCTCGCTTGTGGAACTTTGACTTGGTTGGAAAGTTCCGGATTTGTGCTTGAAGTGGCACATCACAGGCACGGGTGTGCATTCATGCCGGAACAAGGCATTCGGAACTTTCCATCTTACCTGAACTTGTGAATGCTGATGGGAAGTCGCACCCTAGCCGCATGGATACAGTTGAAAAGCAGCTCGGCAAAGGAAGCGTTTGAATGCTCAAGGTGCTCAGCCCACATCAGCTGCTGAGGCCATTCACAAATGGGCTTGACCAACTCTTTCGTGTAAGGAAAGGAATCGACGATCGAAGTTTCCGTCACTGCAAAAGCATGACCCGTGCACATCAAGCAACGGAGATTCGAACTGCGACTCATACAACCCCAGAATAGCAAGCAAACAAACGCATGTATCTGACCACATGCAAACATGCACACATGCATGCACGATCATGCGTGCATCATACACGAAGAATGACATATGCATGCATGTGTACACACGTGCATGCTCATATGCGTATATACGTACATACATACATACATACATACATACATGAAGCGCACACACACATACAGGAAAAAACACAAACGAAACATCGCGTGCACAGCATGCATAGACTGCCTAACAATGGGCCTGTACATGCATACCTGCATAAACGTAGTTGGGCGTTGAGCTAAACTCGTTCATCCCCGAATGACCTTCTTCACGAAAATCCTTTCGGGAGCATCGCAGACACATATCTAATTTCTATGCGTACTGATCAATATATGGCCAACCCTTATGTACGGCAATCTTTCCTTGTCGTCGTTTGGAGTTAGCTAGGAAGTTCGAGGGCCCTGCGGTTGTAAGATCTTGAGGGCTAGGGATTCCTGGTATTGGGATAGGGCGGTAGTGTTTTGAAGGGTGGAGCTCCAAGCCTCACAATCGCCGCTGATAGTCGTCGTATGTGGCAGTAGTCACTCATCTTTCGCACTACACATACCCACCGCATGTTGGCATCTGTCTGGAGCCTGCTGCGCGATTCATTTCAGATGTTGTGCCAAACAGCATTAAACCGAAAGCCAAGAAGAGAACCGTAGTAGCAGTAGTAGTAGTAGTAGTAGTAGTAGTAGTAGTAGTACTAGTAGTAGTAACAATGGTGGTAGTAGTAGTAGTAGTAGTAGTGGTAGTGGTAGTAGTAGTGGTAGTAGTGGTAGTAGTGGTAGTAGTAGTAGTAGTAGTAGTAGTAGTAGAACAGAGTCATCACGAAACTTTCGCAAGGCATGTTGTCTTATGCAAGCGGTCGTTATGTATAAACACTGCACCAAGGAGGCATGTTGTCTTGTGCAAGCGGTCGTTCTGTATAAACACTGCACCATCTAGATCAATGCTCACATACGTAAGCATACAAGCACCTGCACATGTACGCCGTGTGTGCAAATCTTACATGTTTTTCATGTGATTTCGGTGACGTGGAGACTAGTGGTGCTAAAACGAAGATCGTGATGATGACGATGGTGGGGGGACAGCTTTGCACCTTGTTGAGACACATGGGCACACTCACTGACTGCGTGCCTGCCTGCCTGACTGACTGACTACTGACTGCTACTCTGCGAATGCCACGATTCATGTGTGAACTTATCCAGACAGCCCTCCCGCTGATTGGCTCCCGAGTTTCGGATTCGGAGTCTGCGGCTTAGGCTTCGGGTTTACAGCTTCGGTACCAGGGTTAAGGATTTAGGGCCGAAGGATGCAGAAGCTGTAGTACGGATGCGGTCCCGGGTTTGCGGCCCTTCATAACTTGGCGTTCAGAGCATTTCGTGAGAGCGAAGTACAACGTGTTCGGCAAGGCGAGCCTCCGTGCACGAGGCCATGAGAGAGACAAGCCTGGGCTGGCAAAGTCTCATAAACGCCTCGCCAGACATGATCTCGACAATCACAATCTCAGGAAGTCTCGGCTTCAAACTTCCACACAATTGCACATTTCGGATTCAAAGAAGAAGAAGAAGGCCTCAAGTGTAGGCCGGGTTATATCCCCCCGACAGAGTCTAGACTTCTAGACAAGGTGCCGGAGCTGGTCACCTGTAGCTCGGAATCCCCGAAACCCTCTGCGACACTTTGCCTGTACACTCCTGACTCCAAGCCAGGAGGCATCGAGAGCAAGGCAGTGAAGGACGCGTACAAGGACGTCTCCACGATGACCTTGCCCCGCGTAAACCCCGGCTCGCAAGACGTAGTTTTCGCACTTGCCTCTGGGAATCTCTGGGACATCTGCATCAGTAGTACTTGTAGCAGTAGTAGTAGTAGTAGTAGTAGTAGTAGTCGTAGTAGTAGTGGTAGTAGTGGTAGTAGTAGTAGTTGTTGTTGTTGTTGTTGTTGTTGCTGTTGTCGCTGCTGTTGTGTTGCTGTGATGTTTGGGGTCGCTGTTGCTACTGCTGTTGCTGCTGCTGTCGCTGCGGTTGCTGCTGTTGCTGTTGCTGTTGCTGCTGCTGTTGCTGTTGTTGCAGTTGTTGCTGCTGTTGCTGCTACCGCTGCTGTTGCTGTTTGCTGTTGCTGTTGCTTCTGCTGTTGCTGTAGCTGTTGAAACTGTTGCTGTCCAAACTGATGCTGTTAAAACTGTTGCTGTTGCTGTAGCGAGTCGCGGCAGGAGCAGCAGCACCGGGTTTTGTTTTTGTTGCTGCTGCTGGTGGTGGTGGTGGTGGTGGCGGCGGCGGCGGTGGTGGTGGTGTCGCTGCTGCTGCGGATTGCTGCTGGTGCTGGTGCTGCTGCTGGAGGTGCAGCTGCAGGTGCTGGTGCTGGTAGTTGATACTATCGTCGTTGGTGTCGCCGTCGTCGTCACTGTCGCAGCAATCATGATAAAGACATTACAATAAAGTAGGGAAAGAACGAAGAAACAGTCAAAACAAGTGAAGATTCTGGCTAAAGGTTTTGTGGCCGAGCTTCCGCCCAGGGCTGCAGGCGCTGCCACCGAGATCGCATCTCTCGCCTGTGACATGTGGGTGCGGATTTTCGAAACGATGGTGCTGCAAGCCCGTGTCAAGATTACCAGCCCCTCAACTTGCAGCTGAAGGAGATCAAGCGGAGTTGTGTCGCCGATTCCAAGCTCTGGGGTATTGAGATCACAACTGCGACAATAATTCACTGATGAAGCTTGGAGTCATGCTCCGTCCGGCATGGTATGATGCATCCACACATACAAGTATCAGTAGCCGCGCGCTGGTATGCAGAATAACACCCTTTGCAGCATCATAAACAGAGAAGCCACCATATTGCAAGTAGCGCGACTTCTAACGAACTCCTTGAATTTTGTACCGAAGTTGTTCACGATCAATGAACGCCAGTGAAGACATGTAGGTTAAAACTGTTTCTAACATATAATAACAAGACGTCAGGTAAGTTAAGTATGAGCCTAACCACAACTTTATACTATAGCCAAACATGAAGTTCATGAAGAATCGAAAGATTGGCAGTGGTAGCGAAAGGACACATTGTCATAGTCAGGCAGGTGTTACGTCATAACGGCTATGATGACAAGGGTGATGATACTTCAAAAAGGGCAATCAGTGAGAACAGAACAAGGCGAAACTGCACCAGCAGGCGGCACAATGGTAGCAGCACTGATGGTGGTTCGATGTGGTTCGTAACGGCGAAGCAAAGGCAAGCGGTGCCTGAAATTAACGAGCACAACAGTAACAGCGCCGGTAGCAAGGTAGTATACGTAGCACCAGACATGATTGAAATGATAATGCATGGAAGTACAAGGACCAAAACAGCCAGAATAACACCACAAGTGACACTAGTAGTGACGGTGACAAAAGCAACAATGAGCGCGCACTGTCATCGTTCGCGCATGGCTCGATCACAACCTATACGTGGTAGCATCTGCTTTAGCATCGTTCACGTGCGTATGGCAGGGCAACAGAGGTACGCACTGGCAGCATGGACGTTATCATCGTTCGTTTATGGCTCGCTGAAAAAGTAAGCACTGGCAGAAGGGACATTATCATCTTTCTACCATAGCTCGGTCATCAAGCACTGTAAATACCATTGTTGTCGGGGACTGTGGATGGTGGAAAACCGCTAAGACTGAAACCAGCGGCAGGCATGATGTTTTCAACGTGCTCACAAAGTCACCCGTTGATGGTGGAAAGCCGCACAGCGGGAAAACTGTGTCAGGCGCTGTGTTTTCCACATGCGAGCAATATACGACACAGTAAATACCGCTGTTGATGGGGTATGCCGGGCGCCCGTGAACCAACCATTGGTTCATGCTTCAAGATGAAAACGGCGATTGCAATGACGTGCTCACTGCATGAATGGGAACAGTGGCCGCGATGATGACAGCAGCAGTGCCACGGCTTAAAAACCTGAATTTCAGTGCACTGGAGATCACCCGACCTCAAACCCTCAGCAAGCTCCTAAGCCCGAAGCAGCCTCAAACCCTACTAAACCTTTAACCCCAAATAAACCCCTTGACCCTTCGAAAACTCGTACCTCTCTAGACACCGACCGCGGTTTAAAGTCCAACAGTGCCTTAATACTTCCAAACAAACTTTTTTGTCAGAGCTATATTGTATCAGTGCTACGAGAATGCCAACGTGCTATCGGTTTTGCACTGAGACCAGCCTCCACTCCGACACAGCAAGCATTGCACGGGTGTGAAGGGAAGTTGCGACCCCCAGCACTGCAGCCAGGACTACGAAGATGGGTACGTCACCTCGGAGTCGGAGTTGGGCTCGGTTGACTGATGGTTTTGCGGGCAATGCAATGCCAAAAGCAGCAGCATCACCTGCACTTAAGCATCAACAGTACCACTGATACCACCACCACCACCACCAGTACCGCCAGCACCGCCACTACCACTACTACCAGTACTTCTACTGCTGCTGCTGCTGCCGCTACCGCTGTCGCCGACCACCACTACCACCACCACCACCGCCACCACCACCGCGACCACGACCACGACCACGACCGCCACCACCACGACCACGACCACGACCACGACCACGGCCACGGCCACGGCCACGGCCACGGCCACGGCCACGGCCACGGCCATTGCCACTGCCACTGCCACTGCCACTGCAACCACCACTGCCACTACCACTACCTTCTACTGCTGGTGCAGTCGCACTAGCGGTAGTAGCAGTAGCAGTAGCAGTAGTACTAGCAGTAGCAGCAGTAGTACTGGTAGCAGCAGTAGTAGTAGTAGTAGTAGTAGTAGTAGTAGTAGTAGTAGTAGTAGTAGTAGTCGTAGTAGTAGCAGTAGCAGTAGCAGTAGCAGTAGCAGTAGCAGTAGCAGCAGCAGCAGCAGTAGCAGTAGCAGTAGCAGTAGCAGTAGCAGTAGCAGTAGCAGTAGCAGTAGCAGTAGCAGTAGGAGTAGGAGTAGTAGTAGTAGTAGTAGTTGTTGTAGTAGTAGTAGTAGTAGTACTAGTAGTACTAGTAGTAACTCGAAAGAGCAGCAGCATTCGGAATTGCTGTAACAGTAGTACCACTGGTAGAGGAAGTAGTAGTGTAGTAGGAGAAGGAGCTGGAGCAGCAGTAGCAAACGCTGATGCGACGCACCAGTTTCACTTGTTTTCAACTTCGAAATTTGGGGTGGCGCCTGGCACCTGTCCTAGACTGCAAGACAAATTCGGGTGACCACTGATCTTGGTCCTTCAGCCAGGACGCCCCAGGCCCACTTCTTATCCTGCGGCGTTTCTGCGTAGATCACGAACTCTGTAATGTCAGAGCCCACAAGGTTGCAGAGGCCGTAAGAAAGCAGCGAACCTTGCTTAAAACTCGGAATCTTGGAACGCATCACTCGGAACTAGAAATCAAGAAAGCTAAGAAAGCCGCACAAGCTTTCACGAGGAAGCAATGGTTGCAAACCCCGAAATTGTAGGAGCCGTATTCTACTACTGCGTCTGCAGCAGTTCTCAGCCTACCGCAGCAGCGCATGATCTCAGCTCGTCCTCTCTCCTCCAACATGCCTATAGCATCCTATAGCAATCAGCGCCCGAAGACAACCGAAGCCGAGCGGCAGAACATGGTGGCCACAAAAACTCGGAAGGTCAGCTCCAGTGGCCAAGCAAGGGACGTGACCTCCTAGGCAGTGAGCAGTTCAGTGGTTGAGGAAGCATGTGTTTGGTGTGACCATACACTAGCATCTCGATAGCCGATCAGCCTGATTCAGATCATTCCGACAAGCGAAACATGAGCATTGCCAAAACAGTGATGAACATGGTACATTCTTATTATTAGGAACAGCACCTCAAAACGAAGCAGAAAACGATTTTGGCCGTATTACGCGGGCTGACATGCTCCGAACTGTCTTTTACGGCACTGCACACCGAACCCTGCAAGAACGGAGCAACGAGGGCAAAGGACTTCCATGATTTCTGCACTGGGTCAATCCTCGAACATGTAGAGGAGGCCCCCAAATGGAGCATTGAAGATGGAGGCAATAGCACAAGCTCCACCCACAGTGCCTTGGAACAAGCAGGCAATGGGGTCCAGCCAGCACCATTGTCAGGCCGATCAGGGGTTGGTTCTGCTTTGTGGGATCTTCCACCAGGCAGCATGCATCGAAATCTGCGCTCTACACTGCTCCAACCACACCCGGACAACATGATCTGCTGTCAGCTGGAAAGCTGCACATCTGAACGGGCTCCATGCCACACAAAAACACCAAGATTGCTGTCTACGAGCTTAGTGTAAAAGCCTGGTGCTGCTGCTGGCATAGCCCGAACTTGCAACAAAACCACACTCAGCGCTCCAAACGACAACGGCTCTCTCGCTGCCAAGGGCACATGATATTCGAGTTGCATGTGCCAGCCGCTGCTCATCGACGAGTAGGGCCTTCCAGGAAGCTGCAGTGGCGGGATGCCTTGCGCTCTTAACCCTACAAAACTCAAACTCTGACATCAAAGCCCAACCCTAAACCCGCTGTAGGGGTGCACTTCCATTGTAGAAAGACACATCTTGACAGCCGAAACCCCTGCACTGCATGCACAAGCCCTAAAGGAACTTTCGGATGCACCGCCTGACTTTGCTTGTACGGTGTAGCATAGTATACTGAGTACTGTGTCATAGCTCCTTTTTCGGTGACGGGTTGGGGTGGGGGGCGGGGGGTGCGCTGGAATGCGAAAGAAAGATCGATGTGCATGTACACAACAAAAGCCCACCTTGCGATTACGCATGCATATACCACTCTTCCAGTGCCTGACTGGTCCTTGTAGTATAGCGATTTATCCATTCAACTTCGTTCGGCTTATGTGTCTTTTTTTGTCACATCAATCTGCTTATGTATGACTGTCTACTGACGATGCACTCGTTCACCTGTGTCCGTGTGTGTAACAGCGAGAACTGCTTCCCCTGGCTGCCTGCGCGCTGCCCGGCCCTGAGACGTCTACCCACTCGCGGACATACGGCTGGACGAAGTGGCGACCTTCGGCTTTGAGTTCTGCAGACTTTCTCTCTCATGAATGGGAATCGAGGTCCCCCAAACCGAGCCTCCTTGTTATTGTTCTCAGTCACTCCACTCCACTCAAGGCTTTGAATACCCTCATTCAGCCCCCCATAAAACTCTCTCTCTTCTTCAGCACAGGCAGAGGGGTGCACGAGTCCGCGCCCCCCTCGCGCGTGTTACCGCGCACTGGAGGGTGAAACTCTCTCTCTCTCTCTCTCTCTATCTCTCTCCTCTCTCTCTCTCTCTCTCTCTCTCTCTCTCTCTCTCTCTACAAACATGCATGCACGGCATGCATGCATGCACATGTACATATGCATGTGTGATCATGTAAGTGTTTAAAAATGTGCTGGTGAAACACCTCCGCAGCTTTTTTCCACTCACCATCGTAGCACTGATCGCGATAAGACCGTCATCAAGTATGGTGGTAGCCATGATAAACAGTAGTGTGAACGATAGCAGCCAAGGCAAAGAAGTAGCAGTAGTAGCGGCGATGCAGCAATCCTCAATATCAGAATCAAGACTTGTAGTAAGTTGCAGACATGCAGACACCCGCTTACTTGCTCGCCTGCTCGCCGCTCTGCTCGCTTGCAAGCTTGCATGAATGCATGTGCACATACAGTTGTGTGTGTGTGTGTGCGCATGTGTCAGAACACAAGTGTGTGTGCACGCGTGCGGGCCGACATACCTATGTATGCACGGATGTGAATGCCAGTGTATGCAAGTGAGTGTAAGTGCATCTCCATCTATCTACTCGTATCTACTCGTATCCATCTACCTACCTACCTAGCTATCTACCTATCTACTCGTATCTACTCGTGTCTACCTATCTATCTATCCATACACACATATATTTGTACACCCAGGGTGCCTGCTCACACTCTGTGAGAAGGAAGACGTCAAGACGTACTAGTAGTGAACAGTTCTGTTCTTGGTACTTACAACGTGCGTCCAATGGCGTAGCCAACTCAAAAGAAGAACGACCCTTGCAAGATTCAGACCTTCCGACTTAGGCTGGGGCCGAGGGCCTGAGATCTCAGAATTAGGGTATATGAGCTGAGTCACATAGGAGGAAGGAGATGTTGCTGCCGATGCTCACCATGGGGCCCTCACGCCCAACAGGGAAGCCAGCGGCATTTGCCAAAATATTTGTGCAAATTCGAATTCCCAGCGTTCGCCGGCCTTGGCTGCACACAACGTGCCAAAGCAGACAAGAGCTCAAGTCCAGCAGATGGGCTCGGGAACTCAAGGACCACGACACCTGGGGAGTTCAACGAACCACTCCCAAACCCTGAAAGCCTTGGCCGAACGATCTGGAGATGCCTCAGAGACGAAACCCACCTGCCTCTGCGAGGACATGTGCCAACGACATCCAGGACACCCAACAACATCCGGGACATTCTGAGATGCAGCAATCACTCTTTAAAAGATGACACAAGTGGTAAAAGCCGGCACAGCGACAATGAAACCGATAACGATACGGCAGCACTTGACTTGCAATCCCTCCCATGAGAGCTAGCGATATTGGTATCAGCCGCAGGCGCAACAGGAAGCAGCAGCTGCAGAAGATGCGGCAGCAGTGGCCGCAGAAGCCGTGGTAGAAATAGGTGACTAGGAGGAGGAGGAGGAAAAGGAGAAAGAGCAGTCCAGTTTGAAGCTGCCGCTGTTCTGCTCGAGAGCTTACCCCATCTCGGACACTCTGCAGCTTCTGGTCCCCTGGGCCGAGTCGCTGTACAGGCCTGGCATGATTGCCCCGTTGAGGAAGGCTTTGTTCTCGGGGATGCCGGAGCCGCCGCAGCTTGGCGCAAAGCGCCTTGGCACCGTCTGAATCTCAACAGGTTTGGGATTGCATTGTACTTCAAACTTCATGTTGGACATAGCCCTCACACGTGTGCCATGCATCAAAGCCTCACCGACAATCCGAATCACCACCCCCTTAAAACCCACAACCCTTACACCCTCCCTAAGCTCCGACTCCGACTCCCCAACTCACAACCTTCCCCCTCAACCCGAATCGATCCTAACCCATGAGCCTCCTATAGGCCTAAACAGGCCAGTGGCTGGATCAGGCAAACGCCCATAAGGGCGTAGACGGTAGAGATGCCTGCAAGGGCCACCACGCCAGGCCATGTGCCTAGCGGAGGTGGGAATCGTGGAGGTTTTTATGGGTTTCGGGATGGTTCGGGTCTGAAGGACTTACACAGCCGTTCTCACCCTGAGGCTCTTCGTGTTGTTCGGCACAGCAGGGTTCCTTTAAACAGAAACATTGACTCTGCGAGCAAGCCTCTTGCTGGTATGATTTCTCCGAAGGCTGAGAGGGGTCTGGATCACCCCATTGGATTGCAATCGAAACCTTCTATGTGCCAAGGCTGGCCCTGAAGCTGCAAAATGCTAACATACCAAGCCGGAAAAGTTCAGCAAGGGACCTGAGCTGTGGAGGGCCGACTGCATGGACCTGAACTTGAGCTGGACAAGGAATTGGATGGCCAGAATCATCCCTGGCTGGCAGTGATTTGAGGACGCACACGGCAAGGCGGCAAGGTTCGATGCTTCTGGCTTCAGTGGAGGTTGAAGGCTAGGTAGGACCTGGCGGTGGTCTGGACGGCACATTGGATTGACAACATCAGGACGAGACTAGCAAACGAACACGACGGCAGTAGCAGTAGCAGCAGCAGGAGTAGGAGTACGAGCAGGAGCAGGAGCAGGAGGAGGAGCAGTAGTAGTTGCAAGTGTAGCAGTACGGTAGTAGCAGTAGTAGCAGTAGTAGCAGTAGCAGGAGTCGGATTAGGAGTAAGAGTATCAGCAGCAGAAGCTGTAGTCGTAGTGGCAGCAGCCTGAGCAGGAGCAGTAGCAGTAGCAGTGCCAGTAGCAGTAGCAGCAGCAGTGCAGTAGCAGCAGCAGGAGCAGCAGGAGCAGCAGCAGCAGCAGAAGCAGGAGGAGCAGGAGGAGCAGGAGGAGCAGGAGGAGCAGTAGCAGCGTTGCTGCTGCTGCTGCTGCTGCTGCTGCTGCTGCTGCTGCGGCTGCTGCTGCTGTTGCTGCTGCCGCTGCTGCTGCTGCTTCTGCTTCTGCTTCTGCTGGTGCTGGTGCTGGTCCTGGTGCTGTTGCTGTTGCCGTTGCCGTTGCCGTTGCGGTTGCGGTTGCGGTTGCGGTTGCGGTTGCTGTGGTGGTGGCGGTGGTGGTTGTGGCGGCGGTGGCAGCGGCGGCGGTGGTGGTTCAGGCGGCGGCGGAGGTGGTGGCGGCAGCGGCGGTGGCGGTGGTGCTGGTAGTCGACGTCGCAGCAGTTACTAGTCACACACGCAGACGGGTTGCGGTTTTGATAGTGGCAGCCGCAGCTGTGAAGCTGTTGGCAACGATAGTGCCAGTGACGGCGGAAGTGGGGATGGTAAGTCGCAGCAGTAGTAGCAGTGGTAACAGCAGGAGAAGTAGTGGATTCAGTAGTAGTATCGGTAGTCGTATCAGTAGTAGCGGTAGAAAAAGAAGCAGCAGTCGTAATAGTAGCAGTACGACGAGAACTATCACGAAATCAGGGCAAAAGCAAACGTGCGGGCGCTGCCGAAGTTGGCCATACCTACAGCCAGCGCGGTGAGCATGGTTATGCCTGGGGGGTCAGTGGAGGTTTATGGTCTGGCTTCGGGTTTGGATCCTGGGACTAGATGTACACCCCCCTACCCTTACAACCGGCATTTCATGTGAGTGTAGCAACCAGAGCTAGAGGCTCGGGAATTTACGGATTCGGTGGTCCGCGGATCGGGGTTCAGCGTGCATTCAATGCTTTGGGGCTTGGGTCTTAGGCTTCGATTCGCAAATTCGTGTCCAAGGCATTTGAAGGAGTTCTGCGGCGGGGAAGCCCAGGTAGTAAGCTGAGGCCTGGTGCCTACCGACATGAGTGCGAGTTTCTGTGTATACGTACACACATACATACATACATACATACATACATACATACATTACATATATACAAATATAAATGTATACATGTAAGATGCATGCATGTAAGTATGCATGTGGGCATGCATGAACGTGAGAATGCATGAAGGTACTTACGTACAAACGTATGTACATGCGTATGCTGCGTATGTATGTATGTACGTAGACCCATGATAAACATATATATATATATATATGTGTATATATGTATATATTTTTAGATGTATACATGTATACAACTCTGTATACAACACTTCGCAATGAGGAGATCCTCACCCAAGCGGATCCTGGCTGATGGCTAGCCGCTGTTTTGAACAACTTCCTTACATACGTATGCATATGTTCATATAGTGACACATGGCATGTATGTATGTGTATATATGTATATGTGTATTTCCACACATGCGTAGATACATACACATGCACACATATACACCTAAACGCGCAAACACGTACACATGTGCACACATACACACATGAATGCATATCTACATACTGTGCACAATACATATATACGTATATAATCATATAATCATATACACATACATACATACATACTTACATACATACATACATACAAACATACTCGTACATACATACAGACATACATACATACATACATGCGCATGCACATACACGTGCACATTCACTAGACATAGACATAAGCATATGCGAAATACAGTGAACCACTGTACAAGAAGCTTCGCCGCAAATTACACAGCTCGGAATTACAAATTCGAAATTCGGGTTGCCTCAGCACTTAGTGTACCTTATCTTTCGGGTTCAAGTACAATTTTTGTGGGGAGCGGGGGTTCATTGTGGCCTTGCGCTTGTTGAATCTCGCCAGGGCAACAACCCAGGTTGAGAATGTGTATATTCTTTTTAGATATAAATATACAGTATACACAAACATATCATTAACGATTGATTGCTTGCTTGATTGATTGTCTCTCTGTGCGCGTGTCTCTGTTTTATGGACTTGTTTGCACATTTACATGCACGGATGCGTATGTAGATCGTTGAACGTACAACACGTGTATAATGCTTACTAATTTTGAAATGCTCCACTCTCCCGGTGTGGATAGCGTTCGACATGACACCCATTCGGGCCGTGTGCCTTCGCATCTTCTCGCTCCGCGATCTTCACATCACCGAATGTTCATTGGAACCCTGAACCCGCGAATCTCTGTTGCAGGCTTGATGCATCTTGATGCTACAGGAAAATCAATCTCTAAATCATGTCGGGAAATCCATGCTGCAGCCACGATACTCCACATCACAGTCTTGGGCAAACGGTGCCTCGACGGTTCTCAAAATTTGGGCTTTAGTTTTGAGCTCATGCTTGGAACACCCTGGCTTTCTACTGGGCCCTACAGTACCTGATACTTGTGGTGGTGGGTGGTACTCTAGCTGCACCTCGAAGTCCCGATTCCCCTGTGGGGTTCAAGGTTCATCAAACAACAGCAAAGCCAAGACCAAGCCCAGAATCTATGCAAAGCAGGCAGTTTCTCTCCCTTCAAGGTTGCAGCCTATGGCTTATAGGCCCGGTAAGCAACCCCAGAAGTCTCAGCTGAAAACTTTCAGGTTTCCGACCAAAGCTTTTGCATCCCCCTCAGAAACTTGCGATGGCTCCTCAACAGGATAAACAAAAACACCAAAGAACAGTAACATCGGGGCTCGATTCAACAAAGCTGCGTTTGAGGTCCAACCACGGCGCTCTCGCGGCTGACCTGCGCCACGGGGTTGACTTGAATTCTGCTTTCCCAATGTCGCGGTACGGTCCACAAAGGAAAATGGGATGCAGAACACCGTCGCTCTGGGCGACACACCGTGGCACCCTCGTTGGCGGAGGCGCCTCGCATCACGCCGTGGCACGAGGGGAGAGCACATGAATACACAGCGATGCGCACACAGCGAGGTTTCATGCTCCTGTTCTACTTCTGGTGGTGCCGGAGCCGGATGCGACAAGTGCCCAAAACTGGCCCAAAACACCAGAGCGGGGTATAGCAAAATTACCACAGCACATCGGCCCAGTGCCGAATGGAAGGGTAGGAGTGTTCCATAGTGCTCCGTGCTGCACATTCGACTCTTGTTGCAAGAATTGGGGCAGCGGAGGAACAAGGTGGCTCTTCTGCCGTGCAACTCTGCACTTCCGCTTGCCGTATCACCGGCGCCCGACCTCCTTGGAAAATCGGCATCTGCAAAACCTCAGAGCGCGGGCATAAGCAGAGAGGCCCGCAAACTCCCAAGCCCGAGCCCCCAAACCCTGCGCCCTCTGCCCTACCCTGAAGGCCCTGAACCCAAGCAAGGCTGAAAGTTGTGGGCAAAGGGCGACAGGCCGCCATGTCAAGGATGACCGGGACGATGGGAAACTCCGGGACATGGGCCTTCGCAGATCTCCTGCCGGAATCCCCGGAAGCCAGGCAAAGAAAAGCAACGCTGCGGTCCTTGTCGCGGTTTCAGTATGAATAAACTTATACATGTATGCATGCATGGATGGATGCATGCATTTTTAGCTGCAGACGTGTTTGTATGTTGTTCTTTCCCACCCGTCTGTGTATACGTGTGTGTGTGTGTGCACACACGTGAGCGTGTTTCTACACACGGTGCCCCAGCAGTGACCCATCTGGCATGCCATCGCCCGGATGTCGAAACAAGAGTAAACATGGCAAACATACTATTTCGAAGTAGCAGAACTGAACACCAAGCAAACAGCGAAAAAGAAACTGTAACGACTGGATCTCGAAGGAATGTCAAAACTACACAAAACAGCACCAAAGAATGGCCGGTGCCGGCATGAGCTGAACCTCAAAAGTCGAAGAATCCAAGCACACGATTGCATAGTCGACCTCCCCATGCAGCATAGCATCACTTGTGCTTTCGGTATTGGCTTCGAGTGTGGTCTTGTGCTATGGACTCTCGGTTTGGAGATCTGGAGTCTGTGGCCTTTCGCCTCATGCACGCTTATTTTAGCTTCTGTTCTTTCGCTTGAAGAGTAATGAGTAATAGTTGCGGCGGAACCTCTTGTCGTCACAAGTACTGAACCTGTTTGCAGGGCTAACAAACAACTGCTGCATAAGACAGGGCTTTGAAAACGACGTGGAGAGTCTACCGGCTACCACTGCGCGCATCGTTGATCTACACGATACCTACTACCAAAAGGTGCAAATTCAACTAATAAAAACTAAAGTAAAATCCTGAGATCCTGAACCCACAACACAGAGACTTGCACACAAACAGAGCCTTGAGAACGCGACTTGTTCAAGTGCTGGAACCGTGAGAACATCAGTTACCGATGATAAACCACAGAAAACTTAGCATGGATAAGCTCTGCTTCATGCCCTTTATTCGAAAGAAGGTAGCTCTTTCGAATATGTCTATAATGTGATGAATGCGACGGTTAGCTTGAGCAGTTTCTAAATGAGTACCATCACTCGGTGTGCTGGCCACTCCAACAGCTGCTGTCTGAAGTTGGTCTTTCGGGCCATTTGCTGTCCGGTGAAATCTGCAAAAAATTGGGTGCCAAGGGGAGCGGTTGCCATCTTGTACACGTATATTCAGAAATTCACATCTCCCATTGATTCGCGATACGTGTAGGTGCATGTATGTCCGTATGTATGTGTACATGTGTATATCCATATCCATAGAATGAGAGAGAGTGTTAGAGCGAGACAGGGGAAGAGAGAGAGGGAGATAGAGAGATAGAGAGAGAAGAGAGGGAGAGGGAGAGAGAGAGAGAGGCGAGCATATGTGTATGTGTGTATATATACGTATATACGTACACACAGAACCAGAGCGAGACACATACACAAATTATTTCTGCTGGTATGACTCTTTGGCTGTCAGGATTGTTATGATGCTACAGAGTTGTTCTTCTTCCTGTGAGGTTGCTATGCTCATGGTGATTATGATGACTGTCGCGGTTCATAGCGGCCACACGATACATGTTACAAGTGACTAATCTGCTATCAGCACCACAAATACGACATGATGGCGATTCTGCTCATACTGGCGTATTGAGTGAAGATCAACATGAACAGTGCGCTAGACATAGTCGTGATGTACTGGTAGCGAATATGACAATCGTCATGGCCATGACAACGTGGACAGTAATGATGATAACGATGCTCATGCCGACGACGACAACAACAACAACAACGGCCCTTGCTGATGCTGCTCAGCAGGGTAGGGCAATCATTTTTGGCGACAGTCACTGCGAAACGTGCATTCTGCTAATGGTATCAGCATCATGCTGAACTGAACAATGCAGCCCGAGTTGGTTCAGCGTCCTGCTGAGCGATGCGAGACGGCCGCCGCTATTTTTCACGGCTCGCCATCTATCGGTGCGGCTACACGCCGGCATGGGGCAACTGCAGTCGCGGGTTGTTGACGAGGAAGGATACTGGGCTGCATCATGGACGCTGTTTCTGCGAGTCGCTTCCGGCCATGAGCTTCCTTCCTGCTGCATCAAGTCTTGCGGAAGGCCTTTTGATTGCTTCGTAGAGTGAAGACGGAGTGGTGGGGTCATGTCATGCACTTGGCCTGCAAGCCAAAAGCGGCTGCACAACAGCATCGTGGCCGAGAGCCTTTGCAAGGGGAAGGTAACTTCAGCTAAGTCTCATGGGACCACATTCTGACTAAAGTTGAATGGCTCCTCACAAACATGTTGCCCCATGGCCCATGCATCAACTGCGGACCTCGGCCTTTGCGGAGGCAAGGGCATTCTCCACCTGTTTTCTGGTTAAGCTTCACTGCTTCAGGAGTTTCGGGGCGGTTTCAAGGTGGGGCCCATAGAGTTTTCAGTTGGATGGCTACGGTTCGTCGGGGCCCCGACTGTACGAATCCATAACACTTCTAAACCAGCCTAAACTCCTAGCCGCAAACCTGAAGCCGGAAACCCTCCTAAGCCCTCACTCCCAGACCCTATGATCCCCAGGCCCTGAGCCTGAAACCCCAAACCCTGGCAATGAGGATTCCGGGTCGATCTGTCTTGTGTCAGCTCTGACCCACTGCTATCCGTCATACCTTGCCATCAGTTCAATTTGCTTCACATTATGTGACGTGGTTGTTGCACTTCACTAGTATGTACTGACATGCTTAAGTATATCCGTTGCCTAGTAGTAAACTCTGTGATGTCATAGTATCGCTATGCTTATTCTGTACACAACAAGACAACATCAATTGCATTCCAACTACTAGTAGTACTGATTGCTGCATGCCCAACTGGATTCTTCAACCCTAAATCCACCCGCAGGTCACCACGAGCCCGACATGGTAGGATTTGTCAGGTTCAGGGCCCTGGGGCTCTTTGAGATGTTTGCAAGGAAAAGGCTCTTTGGTTCTGTTGCTTCTTAGGGCCTTAGGGTTAAGGGTTTGGTGTTGCTAGGGAATTCAAGGTTCAGGGGTTACCTCAGGGGTTTGGGGTTGAGAGGCGGACTAAGGGTTCGGATCCATGTCTCAAACAGTCAAGCTAATGTGCCAGCGTCGATGGAAGACTCTTCCTACCTTGTCTGCTTGACTCATTGACGGGCCCTGCTACAGCGTAACATGAAACTGCTGCAAGGAATCGCACGGATGATACAGATCATATGCGGTTTGGAGCTGCAGGCAAGAAGAAAGCGGTCTGGCGCGCAAGTTTTCATAGCCGAAGGAGTACGCCCTAGGTCCTAAACCCTAAACAGATTCAGAGAAGCCTGCAATAAGACTCAAACAGCAAATGGTCAAGGGTCACAGGCGCTGAAAGAACCCCAAGCTCAAAACCCTGCACTCGAAATCCAGAAGTATCCGACTTAGATTGCTGAGGGATGAGCTTTGCTGAATATTTGATGTTCAGACTTCCGAACTTATGCCTGAGCCCACAGCGCTGAAACCAAACAAAGCGCTTGAAGCTCGAGACCCCTAAACGGCCCTAAACCTCTGAACCACAACCCTAAACCCCCAACCCTCTCTGCTCTGATTTCGGGAGGCCTCCGCGAGGTTTGACTTCGTGCGCTCTGCTTCGGCTACGACCTGGGGCTCTGGAAGTGTGGACTTGCTGTAGGTACAGCTTGGGGGGAACACTTTGGTATCCAAAATCCGTGATGCGGCAATCTTCAGCGTGTCCCCCGCACCCCTGCAAAACAAGCCGCGGCATCCTTTCGGCTCAAGACCCGAAACTCTCAAAAGACCTCAAACCCTAAAACCCCCGAAACCTTACACCCCAAAAACCCTGAACCCCGAAATCCCCAGAAGCCGTAAAACCGAAGGACGAGCCTCCCGTCGGAGCTCCGCCACGTTCTGGGCACGCTGCGTCTCGGCCGCCTCGCGCTCCTTCCAAGCTTTTCACGACTTGGGGTCCGTTCCGTCATGGGCTTTCCGGGATGTTCAAGGTTCAGGGACTAAGGCTCAGGCTTCAAGGTTCAGGATTTTCAGGAATTCAAGGTTGTGCATTGACGGTTTCGAGACACGGGTCTGGAAAAAGCAAGTACGGTTTTGGGCCTGGGTGAAGGGTTTAGGACTGTGGACGTGGTGTTTGCGGCAGAGGCACCGGAGTCACGTGTTTAGGGGTCGCAGTTGTCTCCGGCTTCATAAAGTGCAGTTTGATGGCGGTGTGTTGGAAGCCCGGCAAACAGACAGTGATAGCACTCATGATAGCTCTGCCAAGGATAGGGCAACAATACTAATGGCAGAACATACTCAATATCTATGCTGTACGAAGAAAATGACAATCAATTAGACAAGTCATGATGCTGATGATGATCATGAAGGCACATCGATGCACGAGGCTCAAGCCTCTGGTGCCTCGGCTTGGTTTGAGTAGGCTGCCGAGTTGAGAGGGTCTTCAACCCTTCTATGATGGACTTCGACGTTAAACCTACCAGTACCAGCTACAAGCAGATATGCTTTCGATAGAACTGGTAATCCGATGAATCTCAGTCTCATTATCTCATTCGGCTCTTGACTCCGAAGCCCTGGCCTGGCACTCGCGATCCAGCTTCTGCGCCTGCGCTTGGTGTTGGGCTTTTGTTGCATCTTGGCTCATCTTAACTCAGCTTAACTGACGGAAGTGCGATCCAAACTGAATTTTTGAATCGGCCGAGAGAGGCACCACGATCTCAAAGAGCACAAGATCAGCTGTACATCCCCTGCAGCTGTGGCTTACGTGGGAACAGCCTGCCCCGTGAACTACCACGAAAGCAGACGAGTCCCGTCAAGCTCAAGCTGCGTAAAGCGCTTTGGCCTTGGCATAGAGTGCCTTGCCCTGAGCACTCTTGCCGCCTACTGCGCAGAAGCCTTTCATACCCAGCTCTTTCCTCGCGGTCATCACCGCACTGATCCACTTCTGGCCAAGCTTCTGAAACATCTTGCCGCTGGCATGTTTCTTCTTGGTCACCACCTGGCCGTGTGTGGCAGATTTGTCTTGAAGCCAGAAAAACTCTCGATGACGAGCTTACCTAGGTTTTCAGATTTGGCCCCGTCGGTTCGCTTCCTATCACCACCTCGCCTTACCGCGCTTATTCTTCATGAGGTGAGTCTTCTGGAGGCCCGTCGCGGTCTTCTCCTCACTGCATGGCATGCTTGAAGCAGGTTTGCAGCAGGTGAAGCACCCTTACAGCACACTGCCGAACCGGCCAGGTTGCTTACTCATTATGAGATTCTGCAACATGTCACCGAGTCGGATCTCCTTGCGACCCTGGAAGACAGCCACCTTCGCCAGCTTGCCCCGAGCGATTTTGCTGATGGCTTTCTTCTTCATCACCTGAGAACTCTGAGAACCAAGCTTACAACCGTAGCCAGCTCGAGGAAGGACAGCCCCGGATTTGCCGGCCTTCATTCCCTTCATGGCCTTTGCCTTCATGGCCGCAGACTTCATTGCCTTCATCACGGTCTTCATAGGCAAGGCCATGGCTTAGAAGCGTGCGGCAGGAGTCACAGAGGATGCAGGGCCGGGCTGGGGGGCAGAAGGCTGGAGCAGAAAGTATGGCATTGCACACGACGGTCGGAATGCGACAAATATCGCTTACAGTTCTGTCGTCAGTGACGAGTGACTACCTATTTACTATTTGCACCATACCTTCCATGATGGAGCACTTTCCATCAAGGCATCTGCTCTTCTTCCTACCACGACTCAAGGTCGCCATCAACCGCGCTGAGCCGCGCCGGGGAAGCGCCTCCTCCAGGAGCTCGCCGCGCCGGGCCTCGAGTTCGGCCTGCAGGGCCCGGGCCCTAGGGCCCTAGGGCAATGGGCGGTGGAGGCGTTGCAGGGCGTTGGACTGTTGGACTGGCTTTCGTTTAGGGCCTTTCTAGGATTTAGGGCCAAAGGCGTCGAGCCTTCAGACGTTCAGGCTGAGGATTCAGGGTTTACTGGCCTTGGACATTGACACTTTCGGCTTTGGGCTTAAGGCTTAGAGTTTGTGGCTCGCCAAGAAGCGGAAGATGCATGATATACTGTGGTGGCACGTTGCTGAGTCAGTAGCTTAGAGCTTAGGCATGAGGAGAAGATGTCCTTCGATACCTGTTGGACCCCGGTTGAGGGTCGCTAGATCAACGGTGTTTGGACTTCGGTTTAGGATAATTCAGGCGTGCAGTGCGGGTGTTGGGCCTTGAATGCCCATGGAAGCACTTCTTTGGAGAGAATGCAACATTACGGTTGCGTTGAGCCTGATGGCCATGTATGTACAAGTCACCAGTCTAATAAGGGGAACCGATTTTCCGTTGCGTTCACACTCCGGTCATTGGCGTTTGGGGTCCCAAGACACACTGCCAGTCGTCCCTGGTGCGGTCCCGAAAGAACTAGAACAAGTTTTCATGACGAGACACGACAAGTTGTAAAGGACTGGGCGAAACAAGCGCCCAATGCTCGCACTGCCTGTTTAGTTCAACGAGCTTTCAAAAAAAACAAAACATGTGCTGGAACTGCGGTTAGGTCGGACAAATGGTTTCGAGCTAGCGTTGTTGTTTGGACTCGGAACGAGTTTCCAGCTCCTACGTTCACGTGGCTCACACATATGAGGTTCCACACAGTCTTCTTGAACAGCAAGCAAGGAGCAGGCTCATCCGCTTCAGGTGCCTGGGGCCTTGGTGAGATTCCTGCAACATCTCGGAAAAGCTCAAAGACGCCCGATACAGTAGCCAGCAACCTTTTTAAATTTTACTGCGCAGCAAGGACCGCGGACCCTTCTGTCGCCTAAAATCACCGATTCAGCTCAGCTAAGCAAATGTTCACTGGTCAAAACATTGCCGGTGCGCGTTGGCAACCATCCAAATGGGCACAATTGCCTCTAGAGCCGAAGTCGCTCAAAGGGTTGTCAAAATCTTGTTGCTACTGTGCTCACTTGGTCTGTGTCGCGCGCTTCTCCATCTTGCGGCACACGGACTGAAGCATAGAGGACAGGTTGTGGCACTTGCCCCCTTGGAACTCAATCACTTCCTGGACCTTGCGCAGGGCCTCCTTGCCGTCAATCGGTGACAACCTCTTCAGAGACATCAGCGCGCGGTCGTCAAGCTTGCTGTTTACCATCTGCTCTAAGCTGAACATTTGCTTCTCGACCTCCTCATTCAATGAGCTGGTCGGTGTAGGCATTGGGGTTCTAGACTCTGGCGTCTCCGACTCCCCGTTGCTGCATCGGACCTGGGCCAAAGAGACCGGCACGAAAACTCCAGGGACTTCAGGCTGAACCCTCTTCGTTCCACCCTCTTCCGGGTTTAAAGCGAGGGAAAAGGCTGGAAGTACTGAGCCCTTGCAGTCCAGCAACCACTCTGAATAGAGTGGGTTGGGGGGGAGGAATCATGCGGAGAATCTTGACTAGTAGATTACACTCTCGAGTCTTCAAGCCCTTCAACTCCTCCATCCGAAGCATCCAACTTATCTTTTCTTAAACTTCGCCAGGCCATGAGGAACCTGCGGCACTCAAGCCTCTCTTCACCATCCTCTCTTCGGGCTCAAACCCTGAAGCCCCAAATCAAGCGCAAACTACCCAGACAAAAACGTGCCTTGGCATGTGGGAGCAAGGCCTGCGAAAGGGTTGCAAATCCGCGTGGCTTCAGGTGCTTTTGGGTTTTAGTTCCGGGCTCGGACTTCATTTGGGAGGCTATGGGATTTTGGATTGGGACAGTCAGCTTATTTCGTTCAGAGCTTGCTGTGTCGATCCAGTCGAGTGCAGGGTTTCGGTAGCGCTGAGGGGTTCGCATGTGCGGCGTGAAACTTTTGAGGCCAGCAGTGCAAGTGGTCAGGGGCTCAAAACCCGATCCGCCAAATCCTGAAGACCGGAAGTGCATCGTCCCCCTGACAAACCCTCCCTATGTTCGAAAGCTCCCTGAGCTGCGAGGTCAGAGGCAACGACCTCCCTTCGAATCCCGAGCGAGGAGCCGCAAGAAAGCCCCAAACCCCAAACCCGGCGTTCCTCGAAGTGTCGAGACCACGCCCTAAGGGCCCTTATAAAGGGCCCTAAATCTAACCGGTCCTGGCCTGGAGTTCCGAGGCTATGGTCTTCGTGCTCGAGGTGTTTCCGTTGGCACTCCCTGGGCTCGGCTGGTTCGAGATCTCCTCGGCTTGTAGCGTCGCATGCCGTTTACGTGGTCAGATGCCATGAGAGATGCGGTGAGGTTTTGGAGAGTCGTCAGATGGGAGCCCAACTTCTGCCGAGACCTGTCAGAAGACTACTTGCACTGACAGTCCAGGCTTTCTGAGGGAGACCGTGTCTTATCGCAGTAACTGACTCACAAGGGGAACACGATGATCACTCGTGTCTGAACGATGCCGAGGTTCCACGGACTGATCAGTCGTCATGTCCCACTGCTCTCCTCCCATCATGCCATCCATGGGCCTGAGCTCCGGTGGGTTTCGGATTTGGTGCGTAAAATGGGAACGAGTATCAGGTATCACCTATGCACCTTGCTGTGTAGCTTAAAACCTCAAGATATCTCAAGATCCAAGACAAATCCTCGAACGCAGAGGAAGCCATCGAACGACCCTTGGACCAGGTCACATGGTCGTGCTGCTAACGTCGGTGGCCATGCCCGACCACCACGTGGTCGCCATGTTCGACACGTTGGAGCCTAGGCTTGGGTTTGGCGGGCTTCACGTGGCGTGGTCCCGAAATTTCAGGTAGAGGCAAAAACAAAACCAAACAAGGCTAGTTGCCGATCCTACTATTAAGCCTAAACTCTCTGGGCCTGGCTCAAAGCCGAAACCCAAGCCCTGTAGGTGAAGCTGAAATCCCTTCAAAGCATTTAGCAGCCATTCAACTAACATAAGCTGTATTAAGGCCATATTAAGTACAGGAGCCCTCCGAGGCATCAAGGTGGTGGATGATGGCATCGGCCTCTTCCCGGGGGATGTCGTAGCGGTCTAGGATCTTCTGGTAGGCTTGGATCTGCCTGGCTTCGAGAGCTTCGGGTCCGGTCCAGCGAACAGGGACAAAGGTGGCATGGGGCGTAGGGTTTCGAGCCTTTAAACCGCATCGGCACCTAAACTCTTGATCCGAAACCTGCCTCTTCATGGCTTGCTTCTCCTTCTCGTGCGTGAAGCGGATGTTCTCAATCTGAGTTTGCAGCTCCATCACTCTGCTGTCTCCCGACTCTGGCTCCTCGGTGTACGTCTTGTTGCTGTTCTGTGCCTCGTTGCAGCCTCCACTCTGATCGGAGTTGGGGGCCATAACCCAGCCTCCCACCATGAAGCAGGGAGGTGCCTCCATCATCATGATCACCGGACCTGGCATCTCCATGTTGTTGGCCACAGTGCCCATGTTATTGGTGTGGGGCACGAACTCCTCAGTTCACCAGGCACGGGAAACACAGGACGGGAGGTCTTCTCGGCACGACACGGAAGGAGCACCCGGTGTAAAGATGGCAGCCACTTCAAGTCGCGCTCGCTGCAAAAGCCGAACGGTCGAAGCCCGGAGGTACTGAAAGCAATAGTGAACAAAAGGTATGCAGTTACAGTTCGGCTGTGTGTTTGCACCTACCTTATTCTCTAGATGTAATATCCGCTTACGTAAGTATCCGAGGAATGGCTTCTGGATGAATAGTAATTAGATGGGCATATAGATGGGCATCTCCAGCTACATAGATATTGACGCTCCTCTGCACATACACCTAAACCTAAACCTTCAGTACCGTGTGTCATGAGAAGGGGATGACTGCAGCTAGGGAGTACTTGAATACTCCATGCATACTATATAATACATAGCCTCTGAAGCTAGCCTGGGCTCCGGTGCATCCGGCTTCCATGACCACTGTCCGTGACCATCGGGGCCCTGCACCTTGAGGACCAGAAAAGGCGCAGGACTTCGGCGGTTTGGATATACAGTTTGGCAGTGGGCATACCCGATCCTCAGCCTCATACTCATCCTCATCATCGTCCTCATCGTCATCGTCATCGTCATCATCATCACAATCATCATCAACATCGTTTAGGACATGTGAGGTCGAGTGTAGAAATAATCGCGATGATGCGGATCTTGACACTAGCCTCGCCACTTTAAATCATGATAATGCGTTGCTACAATGCAATGCAACCACGATGGCGCCGACAATGATGCCGCAAGAAAACAGTCATACAAGCGCCCATCACAACCACCACAACCACAATGGAACACTCACAATAATAGCAGAATGCAGCAGGAGCAGCAGCAGTAGAAGCAGCAGCAGCAGGAGCACAAGCAGCAGCAGCAGCAGCAGCAGTGAAAGCGTAACTGAACAAAACAAGGGTCGAGGAACAGCACCCACGACAAAAAGGTCCCCAGATCCGGACGCTCCAGCATCGAGATGACTGTGGTGCCAGTGCTTTCTGCGCAATCCCCGGAGCTACGAGAGCAGCACTGGCCACATGCTGCAGTCGTAACAACAAGAAGCAGCATTGTCGCAGCAGGGCATCGTGGGAAGTGGAACCGCCGCTCAGTTCTT